TGCCGCGCCACGCAGCGGTGGTGGCCATCCGTACTATTTCCAGGCCCCGCTTGTATGTTTGCCGTGGTTTGTCATTCCAGCAGGCTGGAAGGAAGTCTCTCGGCCTCCACAGGTCCTTCCCGTTAGCTGACATGGCCCGCGATTGCAGGCGAGTATGGACCATCGTATTCTTGTATCCACGAGGTTGTGATAGTATTCAATCGTAAAAAATGACCAAAACAGGAGAGAGAGATAAATAAAAATATTTATTATTCCTCATATTGTAGAGTGAGGTGGATAGGTTTAGCCAGGTTTGATAGTTTGTGGATGGTATTATATTTGATTTTTTGAATATTTATTTCTGTAAATCTCTATTGTATGTGTGTTGTACGTCTTTGCGGAGCCAGTGGCCTGATGAAACGTGACCACGTGAAAGCTTACCTCCCAATTTCTGAATAAAATAAACTATGTAAATATTTTTATATTTATTTAATACAAATATATAACAACTTGTGTTGTTAATTTTCGATTGAAGAGTTGGAGCATTTCGATATAAAATATATTTATTGGCTTATATACTTAGCACAACAATTTAAAAGTAAGAAATGATGAAATGTAAAAGATTATATATCTAAATACAAAAGGTTATTTAAAAATTAAATACCATCCTTTGTTCTTCATGTCAAAACATTCTTCTTTGTTCTTCATGATTTTTATTGATGTTCATTTTTTTCACAGACATTATACCTTCAACTTGTCTATGATTTTTCGTTTATGTTCAAATCTTCTTTATAAATAAAGAAAAACCAACCATGTATGTACTAAGGGGTATTGTCAGCATACTGTAAGCTCTATATTATCACTCAATCAAGGTTGAAGTAGCTTCTAGATCAATCAATTGAGTTATTTAAAACCAAAAGAACATAAGCACGCTAGAATATAAGTGAGAAAATATGACAAAAGACATAATTAAGATGGTAAATTCAATAAAAAATCTCTCAGTCGTGCAACTCCTATTCGTTGATGGATTGTTACATTTATGGAAACGACATAGGGCAAGATATATCAGGTTAGTTCTATTATTAATGTTTTTTCTTCAATATTACCATTCTGTGATTTGGTATATTCATATTTTTGTTGTAATTTAGCATGTTTTGTTATTCGTTATTATAATTTGTTAATTGTAAATTCGAAACTATTATAGACGTGTATGATTCTTTTAAAAATTAAACAATTTATACTGCCCTTACTGCAATATGGTAAATTATTGGGAGTGCTTGACTCATCAGTAGTGAACCCTCACAGAGGTTTCACCAGTTTAATCTACCATACTGCTGTTATATTGTATTTTTAGATCTTCCTTTTATAGTGATACTGTATAGCTTCATAACAGATGGCGCGCTAATGCATCATAATTTGTTCAATGTTATTGATTTCATAGTCAATAAGGGTTTATATATCTCTCTATATATAAAAGTCAATGTCTGTCTGTCTTTTTCGCGATAAACTCAAAAACTACTGAACCAATTGGTACCAAATTTTTCATGTCGCTTTTTATAAACCTGAGGAAAATTTTCGGCTACATTTTGATTAGTATTTTTGGCTATTTCTTTTTTTCATTTGAAGAACTTTTTTTTACGCGGAGTAATCCGGAATGGAATGAATACCCAAATATGGCCATTTTTTATACGCATCGGTGGTTCAGTGGTAGAATGCTCGCCTGCCTGCCATGCAGGCGGCCCGGGTTCGATTCCCGGCCGATGCATTTTTTTTTTCCATTTTTAAAACTCATTTATATTATATACTAGCGGATGTGTACCCGGCTTCGCCCGGGTTTTATCTGAGTGAAAGTTTGCCTAACGAATATTATTGAAAATAATTTTCCGGAACATGGACTATTATGATAATAATATTCATTACATTATATTTTTATTATATTGTAACGTTTTATTTTTGCTTTTAACTTTTAAAGAAATGTTTTATTTTAAATCTTTATCTAATTTGTTTGTTTGTTTTAAATAAAGAGGCAAATTTACCATGTTGCTGTTCTTTTGTTTATTAATTGTTCTTTTTTTCAATGATGATAAGAGTTATTGATCACACATTAAAAATCAATGAAAAACAAATTACAAAATTAATTACAAAATTCAGAAACGTGTCATATCCCTCGGCTTGAAGGATTTATTTTCGCAAAATAAATGGTTTCAATTGTGACACATGAACTTTAACCAAGGAGGAATCATCTTTCAATAATTCACACGTAACACTAGATATTATTCTTGTTATTTGAAAAGGACCCTCATACTTTGGGGATGTTTTGACCATACTTGGATCATTACTAGGTATTTTACGAAGGACCAGATCACCAACTTTGAATGACGACTGCGGATGTTTTGCATCGTGTCGTGCTTTCCACTTTTCTCTATGCTTTGCGCTATTTTCTATTGCTTTCTTCCTTGCATTTTCTATGGTGAAATGTGGTGATTCAGAAAATTCTGGTATTGCACAATCACCAAAAAGTAGGAAATTTGGAGAAAACCCAGTGACATCATGGGGTGTGCTATTATAATCTTTCACAATTTTGGCAAGTAATGATGACCATTTTAGTCTTGGATTCTCTTGAAGGTTTGTTCTTAATTTGGTGAGTATAGTGTCATTCATCTTTTCACACAGTCCATTACTCTGCGGATGATATGGCGTCGAATAGGTGTGTTGAATTTGATGCTCATTCAAAAACTTGTTAAATTCTTTTGATGTAAAATTATTTCCGTTGTCGGTTAAAATACATTTGATTTGGGGAACAGTTTTGTTGATTTTGTCTAAACATTGAATTACTGCTTGAGAAGTGTTGGTGACAGTAGGGAAAGCCCAAACAAATCTTGTTAGGTGGTCAATTATTACTTGAATGTATTTGTGCTTGGTTTCATTTGCTGCAGAGCCTAGCACAATAGTATCCATTGATATTAATTCCAGTGGTTTCAGATCAGAGTTTGGTGCAACATATTCTCCAATAAATGGTTTATGACTGCATTTAATTATTTGACATATTCTACATGAGCGAACATAGTCTTTGATGCATCTGATAGCATTCTGCCACCAATAAAATGGTGTTATCAATCTTACTGTCTTGTTAATTGAGGGGTGAGAATGATTATCGTGGTATTCTTTGAGAATTTCTTCTTGGAATGATTCTGGAACAACTGTTTTTAGAACTCCATTATGTTTCGCCATAATAAGATCTCGATGAATATGAGAGTTCTTTACAAAACTGAGATCCGCTTTTTGTTGGTGTAGTCGAAGAGTGGGGATTGATATATGAAATGACACTGGTGATCTTGACAATGCATCAACATGCGTTTGCTTTGATCCTGATCTGTGAACTATTTTCATTGACTTGGTTGATAATTCAATTATCCATCGGAGATATTTTGCCTTTGGTTTCCTTACGTTGAAGAGCCATTCCAAAGCCGAATGATCTGTAATGACTTCAAATGTATTGTTCTCAAGATAAACTTCAAAGTATTCAACTGATTGAACTACAGCAAAGCATTCCAACTCAAATGCAGAATAGTTCTGTTGATGTGGTAGAAGTTTCCTTGAATAATAGGAAATTACATGTTCTTGATTATCATTTCCAATTTGAGCTAAAATAGCACCAATTCCCAGTTTAGATGCATCTGTATAAAGCTTACATGGTAATGAAGGATCATATGTAGAAAGAACTGGATCTGTGGATAAATGAGACTTTAGTTCCTGAAATGATTTGTTAACTTCAGTAGTCCATTTGAATAACTTATTTTTTCTTGTGAGGCTTGTTAAAGGATCTGCAATTTCACTAAATTTAGGAATAAATTTCCTGTAGTAACCTGCTAAACCCAAAAACTGCCTTACTTGCTTCACTGTTTTAGGTTGAGGGAACTCATTTATTGCCTTTGTTTTTTCAGGGTCAGGTTTAATCTTGTTATGTCCTATGATATGACCTAAATATCTTATTTCTTGTTTTTCAAAGGAGCATTTCTTCAACTTGAGTTTGATATTGTTTTCTTTAAGCTTGTCAAATATTTTCTTCATGAGTTCAATATGATCTTTAAAAGTACTGCTGTAAATTAGAATATCATCTTGATAATTACAAACACCGTTCCAAAGAAGATTTCCAATAATATGCTGAATTATTCGCTGAAAAGTACTTAGAGCATTTTTCAAGCCAAATGGCATAACCAAAAATTCATAATGCCCGTCATTTGTAATGAAAGCAGTTTTCTCAACTGAGTCTGGATGTATTTCAACATGCCAATAGCCCCATGCTATGTCAAGTGTTGTGAAGTAATTCGCATTATGTAAGCGATCAAACATATCTTGGATGTATGGAAGAGGCTGCTTGTCATCAATTGTAATTGCATTCAGTTTTCGGTAATCTATGCACATCCTTTGTGAACCATCCTTTTTAGAGACCAACACTACGAGGAAGGCCCAAGGTGACTGAGATTCTCTTATTAGTCCCTTTCTACTCAATTCTTCAACTTGTCTTTTTATTTCATCATATTCGGCAAGTGGTCTTCTATATGGTCTACAACTGATGGGTGGATGTTCAATTGTATGTATCTTGTGTTGAACAGCAATCCTTCCGATGTCAGTTTCACGCTGGCTGAACAATGCTTGATTTTCTTTAAGTAATTGATTAAGCTCTTTTTGCTGAACAGATGGAAGATGCGTTTCAGGAGATATATAAAAACATTCATTTCCTTTAACATACACCGCTTTGTCTTTTGTGTCAATTACTAATCCAATTTTTCCTGCTACATCAAGTCCAATGAGCAATGGATAGCTAAAGTTTTTCACTACATGAAGCTTACACCCGACAAGTTTAGAATGGATTTTCAAAAATACTTCTACTGATCCTAAAGTATATGCAAAACTAACTACTTGTTTAATTTTGATTCTATCGTTTACATTCAATTTTAACTTATGTTGTTTTAAAAGCGAACAGCTCATTAATGAAATAGTTGACCCGGTATCAATAAAAGATGGAACTGGAATATTATTAAGTAAAACTTCAACATTAACAAATCTATAAGGAAAATTGGTATTTGCTATGCAAAGTGAATCAGCTATGGTTTGATTAACATCTGTGGTGATATTAGTTGCTTGGTGTTTAAGCTTGTCTTTATAATTAGGATCATAATCTCTGCAATCACTTATCCAATGTTTAAAATACAATCCTTTTTTCTTACAAATAGGACACCAATATGGGCAATTTTTTGAGACTGTAGGTGTAGTTATATTAAAAACCTTGGTTTTACTTCTCTGTTGTTGCCTTATTTGATTATTGTTTTGTTCAATCTCCATGGCAATCTGCATCCAATGTGATGGATCTTTAGGCTGGGCTGTTACGAGATAATTTTTCCAATCTAATGGCAATCCATCCGTTAACATTTTTAGCTTCTCGACATTATTGAGGCTTGTTTGATTTAATAATCTAATTTTATCTCTAAAATAATCTTCCACGGTTTCTTCTTTTTTAAGTCTTCTTTTTGATGCTGCAACTATAGGGCTTTCAACTTTATAACCAAAGCACTGAATTAATTTGAGTTTAACAGTATCCCATTTTTTAATGGATGCGTTGCTCAATATTTCATCAGCAAACCATTCTAAAGCATCTTTTGATAAATAATAAATTAGATTATTGATTCTATCGACTTCATCTAGTTTACCAGTTTCCAATTCATATAGTTTAAGCCATGATTCAGGCCGAATTGAACCTTTATCACCGCTAAATTTCTCTAATTTGTTTACATTTACTGCCATTGTACTTACTTTTTCTTTCGTCGAAGCCTTTTTTGATTTATATTTTAATCCTTTCGTAGCTGCGCCAAATATTTTATGTAACGTTTTATTTTTGCTTTTAACTTTTAAAGAAATGTTTTATTTTAAATCTTTATCTAATTTGTTTGTTTGTTTTAAATAAAGAGGCAAATTTACCATGTTGCTGTTCTTTTGTTTATTAATTGTTCTTTTTTTTCAATGATGATAAGAGTTATTGATCACACATTAAAAATCAATGAAAAACAAATTACAAAATTAATTACAAAATTCAGAAACGTGTCAATATATTTATATAATACGAATGGCCCTGGCAACGTCCGGGTTTTACCCGAGTGCTTATATATTTTAAAAACGTTTTAATTCAAATACTATTCGTTACAATTATAAATTGGCGCCATGGATGTCACTCTTGTGAAACGTCCCGTTCCAAACTGTGTGTTTTTAAAATGTTTTAATTGAAATACTATTCGTTACAATTATAAATTTGAACGATAGGCTCATTATTTCTTTATACCGTTATTATACCGTTATATTATATATATTATATTTATTATAATAATAAATAGTTATTTAATTTTATAGTCCATTTTTGTATTAAGATTATCTTCACTATTATGATCATTTAAATTCAAATTATAAAATTTGTAAAATGTTATTAATTTGTAGATAGAGAGAGAGAAAAAAAAAAAATCCTTTACTTCTACTACATCCTCAAGTTAATTATATATTTATAATTAATAACAATAAAAATTAACAAAGTAACGTCTATTACATCGGCTTTTACACGTCATTCAGACATACTCTAATCCTATATATAGAATAATCGAAGAGAGAATATATATAATAGTTAGAAAAAAGAGAGAAAGACAGAACCATGCACTTTTAATCAAACTAATAATAAGGAAAAAAAAAAAGAGTTTTATAAAGAAGGTAGATAAGATT